TCATTAATATCTATCTAGACACTTTTGGACATCTTTTAAAACCTTCTGGTAATCTTTATAATTATCTAGAAAGCGTTTAGATACTTTTTGATGTTTATGACAATCAGTAGAAAGTTTCAGGACACTTTTTAACTACTATAGAAGCCATTAAATACCTTCTGGACATTTTTTGACGACTATAAAAAGCGTTAGAAAGGTTCTGGGCACTTTTAGACAACTATAGGATTCATTAAAAAGTGTCCAGACACTTTTAAAATCTCCTGGCAATCTTTATAATTGTACAGAGAGCATTTAAACACCTTTTGATATTCATGGCAATCATTAGATAGATATTATAGAAATCATTAAATATCTTCTGGACACTTTTTGACTACTAGAGATGTCATCAGACACCATCTGGACAGTTTTTAACGACTATAGAAGTAATTAGAAAGTTTCTAGACACATTTTAACAACTATAGGAATCATTAAAAACCTTCTGGATACCTTCTGACGATTATAGAAATCATTAGAAAGCGTTTGGACACTTTTTGATAACTATAGGAATCATTAAAAGCTATGTAGACACTTTTAGACATCTTTTAAGGTCTTCTGGCAATCTTTATAGTTATCTAGAAAGCGTTTAGATACTTTTTGATGTTTATGACAATCAGTAGAAAGTTTCAGGACACTTTTTAACTACTATAGAAATCATTAAGTACCTTCTGGACACCTTTTGAGTACTATAGATGTCATCAGACACCATCTGGACAGTTTTTAACGACTATAGAAATAATTAGAAAGTTTCTAGACACATTTTAACAAGTATAGGAATCATTAAAANCAATCAGTAGAAAGTTTCAGGACACTTTTTAACTACTATAGAAATCATTAAGTACCTTCTGGACTCCTTTTGAGTACTATAGATGTCATCAGACACCATCTGGGCAGTTTTTAACGACTACAGAAATAATTAGAAAGCTTTTGATACTTTTGGATATCTCTTAAAATCTTCTGGTAATTTTTATAATTATTCAGGACATTTTTTCACAACTACATAAATCATTACAAACTTCTAGAATTGTCCAGAAAGGTTTTAGACACTTTTTAATAATCATGGCAATCATTAGATTGTGCCTGAACACTTTTTGACATCTTTAAAAACTCTCTGGATGTCTTCATAAATGTCCAGAAAGCGTTTAAATGCGTTTTGACGACTTTAGATAAACTTTATACCTGTCCAGAAAGCGTTTAGACACTTTTTAATGGTTATAGATATAATTAGAAATTTTTTGGACAGTTTTGGATATAGTTAAAGAGTTTCTTAGAGATGGAATAAAACTAGGAATAACAAATCAAAAAGCTCTCTTTATTTTGTTTCATTTATAATCGATTTAATGGCACCAATAAATTCAACCAAAAAGTTAATAACAAAACGAAATGAATTTACCAAAATAATAATAATATCAGACTAGGTTTAATTAAAATCTAAATTAACCCAAAAAAAAGAAAATGGAGATGTACAACTAGATAACATCAATAACTAACTAACTATTTATTACATCATTTTTATGTACAAAATAAAATCGAAGTGCGGGAATCTAACTAAGCGATATCTAACAACAATTTCTTTGGTATTGCATTACTTTAAAATGATTAAAAATGATTTACTTTTAGGCACATTCAAACTTAATTAAATTTACAAACTTTACTATTTATTTACGTTTATAAAAAGCTATAATTTACAAAAATATACAAAAATACTGGCAACTCATTATCGTTATTACCGTAACCTCAAAATAAAACAACGTAATCCTCAAAAACGATAAAAAACCAGATTAATCTTATTGAATAACACAATTCTTCCTCAACTCCGTCTCACTCTCCTCCAATTCCACTTCCGCCGCTTGACCCGGACTATTCGAAGCAACTTCCGGCAAATACGGCCGATAATCCAACCCCGATCTCTCATAAAACAAGATATACGCCGAGCTTGTATCGATTTTTGGAACTTTCACGTCGGTGTAAGCGCATTTAAACGAATTCAACGAATTTTCAGATCCATCGAAAATCTTTTTCATTAACTTCCGTTCTTGGAAACACGGCGAGTTCTTTGGGGAATTAATTTTTGAATTCACTAACGTGTGAGTTTCCGATGATGAATTATTCTCATCGCTTAAATTGTTCGTCAATTTTTGATCGTTATTATTATTATTGTTATTATTGTTGTTATTGCATAAAGTGTCGGTGGAAATTTGGGACAAACTCGAATTACTTCCGTTTCTTCTCCGCATTAAAGGCGTTTGTAGCGGGGAATTAATCCGTGGGTTAATATGGGTCGTCGAATAATTTAGTTGCGCCTTATCGTTGTTGTTATTTTCGTTCGAATCGGTTAAAACTTCTCGACAAGAACTATCGTTGTAGCAGTACCAATGTCCGTTTGGGTTACAAGCGTACGAGATGTAATGGCCCCCGTTTAATAACCCGGAATGACTCTAAAAATTAAAATTAATCAAATTAGAATTAAATGAAACATTTTGACGATTATAGATATCATTAGACACCTTCTGGACAGTTTTTAACGACTATAGAAATCATTAGAAAGGTTCTGGACAATTTTTGATAACTGAAGATATCATTAGACATCCACTGGACACTTTTTAACTACTACAGAAACCATTAAATACGTTCTGGACACCTTTTGACAACTATAGAAATGATTACAAAGCTTTTGGTCACTTTTTGACAACTATAGGAATCATTAGGAACTATCTAGACACTTTTGGACATCTTTTAAAATCTTCTGACAACCTTTATAATTATCCAGAAAGCGTTTAGACACGTTTTGATATTCATGGCAATCATTAGAAAGATTCTGGATACTTCTTAACTACTATAGAAATCATTAAATACCTTCTGGACACTTTTTGACGACTATAGATATGATTAGACACCTTCTGGGCACATTTTGACTACTATAGATATCATTAGACACCTTCTGGGCACTTTTTAACGACTATAGAAATAATTAGCAAGCTTCTGGACACTTTTTGACAACTATAGGAATCATTAGACACCTTCTGGGCACATTTTGACTACTATAGATATCATTAGACACCTTCTGGGCACTTTTTAACGACTATAGAAATAATTAGCAAGCTTCTGGACACTTTTTGACAACTATAGGAATCATTAGAAACTTTCTAGACACTTATGGACATCTTTTAAAATCGTCTAGCACTCTTTATAAGTATCCAGAAAGCGTTTAGATACTTCTTGATAATCATGACAATCATTAGAAAGCTTCAGGACCCTTTTTAACGACTATAGACATCATTAGACACCTTCTGGACACATTTTGACGACTATAGAAATCATTAAGAAGCTTTTGGACACTTTTAGACAACTATAAAAATCATTAGAGAGGTTCTAGAATTGTCCAGAATTCTTTTAGACACTTTTTGATAATCATGACAATCATTAGAAAGCTTCAGGACACTTTTTGACGACTATAGAAATCATTAGAGAGCTTCTGGANCATTAGACATCCACTGGACACTTTTTAACTACTACAGAAACCATTAAATACGTTCTGGACACCTTTTGACAACTATAGAAATGATTACAAAGCTTCTGGTCACTTTTTGACAATTATAGGAATCATTAGGAACTATCTAGATACTTTTGGACATCTTTTAAAGTCCTCTGGCAATCTTTATAATTATCCAGGAAGCGTTTATACACTTTTTGATAGTCATGGCAATCATTAGAAAGTTTCGGGACATTTTTTAACAACTATAGAAATCATTAAATATCTTCTGGATACCTATTGACGATTATAGAAATCATTAGAAACTTTCTGGACACTTTTTGACGACTATAGAGAACATTAGAAAGGTTCTGGGCACTCTTCGACACCTATGGGATTTATTAGAAACTATCTAGACACTTTTAAAATCTTCTGACAACCTTTATAATTATCCAGAAAGCGTTTAGACACACTTTTTAACTACTATAGAAATCATTAAATACCTTCTGGACACCTTTTGACGATTATAGATATGATTAGACAACTTTTGGGCACTTTTTGACTACTATAGGTATCATTAGACACCTTCTGGGCACTTTTTAACGATTATAGAAATAATTAGCAAGCTTTTAGACACATTTTGACAACTATAGGAATCATTAGAAACTTTCTAGACACTTTTGGACATCTTTTAAAATCGTCTGGCACTCTTTATAAGTATCCAGAAAGCGTTTAAATACTTCTTGATAATCATGACAATCATTAGAAAGCTTCAGGACCCTTTTTAACGACTATAGAAATCATTAGACACCTTCTGGACACTTTTTGATGACTACGGAAATCATTAGGAAGCTTTTGGACACTTTTAGACAACTATAAAAATCATTAGAGAGGTTCTAGAATTGTCCAGAATTCTTTTAGACACTTTTTGATAATCATGACAATCATTAGAAAGCTTCAGGACACTTTTTGACGACTATAGAAATCATTAGAGAGCTTCTGGACACTTTTTGATAACTATAAGAATCATTAGAAACGTTCTAGACACTTTCGGAGATCTTTTAAAATTTTCTAGCAACCTTTATAATTGTACAGAAAGCATTTAGACATCTTTTGATATTCATGGCGATCATTAAAAAGCTTCGGTACACTTTCCAAAGACTGTAGAAATCGATAGTAGCCTTCTAGACATTTTTTGACAACTATAGTAATCATTAGGAAGCTTTTGGACACTTTTTCACGACTAAAGAAATCATTAGAGAGCTTCTAGAATTGTCCAGAATTCTTTTAGACACTTTTTAATAATCATTAGAAAGCTTCAGGACACTTTTTGACAACTATAGAAATCATTAGAGAGCTTCTGGACACTTTTTGATAACTATAAGAATCATTAGAAACGTTCTAGACACTTTCGGAGATCTTTTAAAATTTTCTAGCAACCTTTATAATTGTACA